GAGAAGCAACTACTCCAACAGCAAAAAGAAGCAAGGTCTGTGCTCCAAAATGCAGGGAAGATGACCACAACGCTAGAACATGCCCTCCACATGGCGGCATTCATGTAAATGTTATGTGAAAAATGTTGCACCTACTCGAACAGTTTAGAAGCAATAATCTGATAGATGAATGTGTTAATTAGGAAGCATATGTGAATCGTGTGGTAACCAACAGACGTGATTTAGCAAGGGAGGTTAGGATGGTATGTATCTAATGAAAGGATAATATTGCTTTACTTCCAATTATCTTGTGGTGGATGCTAGTAGTGTAATAGGTTATTATTATCGCCATTGTGCAATCAAACCAAGGGGTCGGAGTGTTGCACACTAATCTAGGCAATACCTATGTCATCCTCAATGGCGCTACTGGTGGTAGCAATATGCTAAGAAGTGGAAAGACACTTGGGAATGCAATGTCAGGTGTAGCACCTACTGAGATAGAGCAAGGTCGATCTCAACCACCTAGGACGCAGCCTTCTCAACCTCAACAGTAGGATCAACTTGTGTCGTTAGCCTGGTTTATAGTAATGGTAGGAAGGTAGTCCAATGTAGTATATGCGTTCTCTTTTGTAAGGTAGCCTGCCTTTTGATCCATTGGAAATGTGTTTGTGACTTCCTGAGACATTGGATAACCTTTTGCATGGAAGACTACTTGCAGATCCGTGAAAATGATGTGTCTTTCCAAAATATTGGATGAGCCTTATTAGGTACTTCAGGAGGTGACATTTTAAGTACCTTTGTCATGACATTATTAGGTATGCGAGACTAAAAGCAGCTGATATGTAAATGATGTTTATGTGAATTTCAGTTGCAAAAAAGTGTTCATTTTAGGAAAGTGAATGATGATTACAAACAATCTGGCCGACACACTAGGAACAAGTTAAATTGCAAATATAGATTTCATTCAATAAGTTACATATAAGGTTACTACAACAGTTTAGAACGGTCTAGTGGAATTCAGACCTACAATGACTACCCCAAAAACTAAGGTTGACAAGACGAGCAAAACACACATAAAACATGTATTGACCAACCTTAATCCCCCGACCAACCTAGCCTTCTCCTCTCTAATGCTTATTAAATCAGCATACAACGATTTTAAGCCTTCTTCCTTCGCACTGCTTTTTCTTCAACAACCCTCAAGCTCTCTTTTAAGCTTCCAGGCTGTAACTCCATCAAACCTAGCTTCGACCTGATGTGTTCATTTCCTTCAGCAACCCCATTCGACCAAGCACCTTCGTTGTCATCGTTCAGAGTAACAGCCCAAAGGAACAACCAACAACTTTCTTCCTCATCCTGCCATACAATAATCAAACAATGGGTGTATAGGTGCTGATATCAATAAAAAAACTAACAACTAATACTTCAATTACCTTCCAATAGGGGCAGCAATATAACTGCCTCCCTGGATCCCTTTCAGTTCCAAAAATATACACAGCAACTGGTATATTGTGTTGGCATTTGACGATACGTGATGAAGATGAATTCGAACAAGAATTGCTTTGTGAGCCTCTTCTAGAAGTCATGTTTGAATTGCTGCAACGAAAACAAAAAATAAATTTTCCAATTGAAAGAAACCCTAAATTTCCAAATTGAATCTCTACCTAAATGAAGGTCATTCTCTTTTATGGCAGAGGGACATTCTTCGCACAATGGGTCTTGACTACTGCCGGCGGATCTGGTCTTCCCCGTAACAACCGTCATCGGTCCTCGCTAGCACAGCTCCCTCGCCGCGCCTCGCCGACGCAACAACTGCTGTCGCAAAGTCAAAATATACGCCGCCGGAACACACATCCTCGTCGTCGTTTGCCTTGCCTCACTTGAGCGAAGCAGATTTGGGATTTTGGGTGAGTAGAAGAGAAGAAAGAATAGACAAGGTGAAATTAGGTCGATGGGAGGAGGGATAAATTTATGCTCTGAAAAAATTTACAACAAATTTTTTTCTTCCGATTTGACGTGGCATCAACGTGTCTGCCACGTCGGCTCAAATCTGGCGTCGTTTTCAAAATCGTCTGGTCAACCGTTATGTCTTGACGGTCAACGAAACCGTCAGGATACAAATGGCACAATGCATCATAGTTCACATTTTTTGATAGTTCGGGTGTTGTAGTGGTATTTGTCCAAAATAATATAGCATATTTTTTGCCCGGCTGTTAGAAGTGCTTTTCGGCATCGAAAGCTGAAGTAGGGCCAAACACCTCTAAAAGCTTGGCTTTTGAAAAGCCGAAAAGCGCTTTTGTATAACATAAAAGCAGAAGCTCCGATTTGGAGCTTCTGCGAAAAGCTCTTTTGAAAATACAATATTATCCTACCATATTTTAATTTTATTTCAGAAAATATAATTTTCCTTCATTTATATCATTTTAAAATAAAATAAATTATAAAATCATATTATTTAATATAAAAGAAATCTAACAAGATCCATTTTGACTACTTTTTATTGTTTAGAATTTTTATTCATATTTTACATTATAAGTTCTTTATAGTCATTTTACACAACCACTCATATTAAAAAGCACTTCTAATAATTTTACAACCAAACACTAAACTGCTATTTATGAAAAGTACTTATCTAAAAGCTCTAGTTAGAAACTATTTCTGCAAAAACTACTACATGGAAAAACTAAGATATAATATCTTAAATTGGATATGTAGTGCATCAGTACAATAACATATTAACATGTGGGTTTAATTTCGTCAAAGGAGGGGGCCTGGAATGACTCCTTGTTTTCAACTAAAGTCTTAAAGTAACAATTTACATGTCCACCAAAAAGGAAAATAACAAAAATAATAAATAATAAAGAACAAATAAAGACTATTGACTGGAAAATGTGAACACGCATGCTGGTAAGTGGTAACTCATTGGTAAACCAATTGAAAAAGCCATTTGATCATTGGAGTTAGTGTATTAGTGGCATTCAGTGTATATATATCCAATTTTTTTTTTTTTCAAAAGATATCATATATTGATAAAAAAATAGATAGTTACATCCTAGACACCAGCCATGCCCGAAAATCAAAGAAGTGACACGTAGTCGGATACAAAAAGAGGACTTTTCTATCTACCGAATGAGCTACTCTATTGTTCTCTCGACCTACAAAACGCACACTAAACCCAGGTTGAGCGCAAAAAAAAAAAAAATAAATCTCTTCCAGAACAGCATCCAACCGGTCATCCCTTGTGTCGGCTTGATTAATTTTATCAATAATCACCTTTACATCGCCCTCAAACCGAACCTCTGACAAGCCACACTCCAAACACCACACAGTAGCCTCCCGGAGCACAAGTAATTCCACCACTTCAGGCTCATCCATTTGAGGGAACTGCACCCCTTTTGCCAGAAGAAGCAGCTGTTCTGAATCTAAAATAATCATATCACCAGCCGAATGCGATCCACTCCTAGTGCCCCATCCCACATGCACACCAACCGAGTCTCACCCACTTGAATTTCTGGCTGAACCGACGGACACGACACACGGGGCACCCGATCCGTTGGCAAGTCCACCCATTCCTCATACTGCTGGTGAAATTGAAAATAGTAGTTGTAAGTTTAGCGAAAATTCAAAATTGGTCACTATTTCTTAGTTGTGCTTTTTTGTCCTTAGTTTAGGTTTAAAAAACTGAATGGCTAAACATCTCCCTAACATCGCCCTAACTTTAAATATAAAATTACTAAATAAACCTTAATAAACCCAACAAACACACAGCCCTATAAATTCAAATCCCTAATTACCTTTCATCTCTGCCAATGAGGGCGGCGGCGTCCCTCCCCCACCTACGTTGGCCACCTGTCCTGTCATCGTCGGACTCCTCCTCGGGCGACAATCCCTCCGATGTGCTGCCGCTGTTCAACCTCGGTTCATCTAACTGGAGATGGAACCTCCTTCATCAGTTGGCTTCATTTTTACGTGGCCGACGCCGCTCTCCTTGTTATTAGTTCTTTGATGCATTGGGGAACTTTGGAACCCGATATGTCAAACATAATTGAAGATCTTTATTGCTTTAAGTGATTAGAAGGTAGGTGGACGTGGTTTGTCTTGGATGGTGGTAGTGGTGGCGACGGATGGAGGTGGTAGTAGCTAGATTAGTTTTGTTAGAATAAAAAGTCTAGACAATTATAAAAGGATATAAATGTAACTTTAGTTAAGGGTGATTATAAAGTTAGGACGACAATTAGCAATCTATTTAAAAAAAATTCGGTGAATTGCACATTTGCTCTCTTAGTTTGTCAAATTTTTTTACATTTGTCATTTGAAATTTTTCATTTTTAATGGGTAGTACTTTAATGTTTTATTTCGTCGTTCGCCATTTAGTTTGCATCAGATTGTAATTTTTTTAACAAATTATTCAAACATTATTTGCTTGCTATGACATAAACCATTATTTAGAATGAAAATTAGTTAAATTTCATTTTGCTGGTGAGATTGCTGCATATTTTCCCAATTGCATCCCTAATTTTATGTGTTGCTTTAGTATAGTAAAAACAAAAGGATAAAAATTATATTTCATCCAAAATTTTATATAACTTACTTATTGTTGGGGAAATAAAGTATGGGCCAGAGGCCAACCCAAGAGGAAAGGCCCAAAGAAGTGTGTTAAATGTGCACAGGCATGGGCCCAACCAGAGAAACCTAAAGAAGCCCATGGAAGCAAGGACCTTGGACTAAGAGGCGCGTGGAGAAGGGCCCAAACGACCAGGGTGGCGCGTGAGACAGGTGGGTCCGGACACCTGGCGAGAGGCGCTTGGGACAAAAGACATCAACGGTCGGAAGTGTACGAAAAGCTGATGGCATGATGTCATGCGCCTCAAACCTCTGACTGGAGTGTCAGGCGTTCGAGGCGCATGCGCCAGGGTTGTACGGTGCATTTATGGCGGACCTGACACAGGGCGAGAGCGACGGATACCGGTCGATCTCGCCCCGAGTATAAATAGTGAAGTAGGTAAACCTCATTTACTCAGTTTTTGCTTCTCTTACTAGAACTGTTCCTCACTTCTCTCTCTAAAAAGAAGGGTTCTCACTTGGGCGTCGGAGTGCTAACGGACCAAACCGGTCCGCTAGGCGCTTGTGTGTGCAGGCAGGCGAACGAAGAGAAGCACGTTGGAGATCGAAGCGCGGAGCGGAGAAGGAAGGCTTCTGGGCATAAACAATTGGCGCGCCAGATAGGGGAATATAACCAACAAGACGCATGGAGGCTCCAGGGTCAGGAGAGAAGGATGGAGGCGCTGAGCGGCAAGAGCCTGGGACGGAAGTGACGAAGGGGGCGGACGAGCATGACGGAAGGGGGAGTCCGAGGGTCGAGGAGAGCGCACAAACGGAAGGCGCCCAACTCTCGAAGGAGGAGTTGCTTCAGATTATCGAGAGCCAAGATCACGCTCTCGAGATCTTGAAGAAAGAGGTCGAGGCACTCAAGAAGGGAGGAGGCGACCCACCCACGCCTGGGTCAAAGAGAAGGGAGCGATATGAAGAGGGTGAAGGGGCATCTAGCCTCACGAGGCGCACGGAGGAAATGGGGCACTTGACCCGACACTTAAAATCAGACTATGATGACGACAACGGTTGGGCGCAGAGGCGTGTCGGGAGAGGCTGGGGAGTTCGGCAGCCTTTGGCCATGAGCATCCTTGCCGAGCTGCCAAGCTCGGTCATACCTGCCCTGCCAAGCTATGATGGGACGATGGACCCGTAAGAAAGATCATCGAAGATTCATGCCGAAGTTAGACATTCACACTGAAGTTCAAAAAAAAAAAATCATTCCTCAATGTCAACCTCCTCTTCATCTGCCTCCACTTCCACATCTTCCCCGCCCCCTCCATCGCTGGGCGCATCACCATCCGCAGACGGAACAACACCAGCACCTGAGGCGGCAGCTCCCGAGGCGCCCGACTGATTCTCCATGGTGGACACAACATGCTCAATGAGGGCAATGGCGTCGAATTCCACTTCTGGATGGTCGGTGTGGAATTTGGCCCTGAGCGTCTCCACGGTGTTGATCACAACATTGGCTTGAAGATCCTTGCTGGCGTCCGATTTCGGATAATTGGCTAAGTCCTGGTTCAGCTGCTGCACGTCAGTCTGGGACCTCTTCAGCTCACGTTTGTAATGCGTCCGGGATTTTTTGAGCTTCTTGTTGGCCTCTTCCAGGTCGTCAACGATCTGGCGAAGCACGCCCTTCTCCTAAAATAGAGCGTCGCGCTCCCGCGTGAGCGCGGCGCCCATTTCCCGAAGTTCCTTGGTCACTTCCTCCCACTCGGCCCTATTTGCCTCGGCCTGCGGCTTGACCTCCTCCTCCAACTCCGCTCGAGCCTTGAGGCGCTCGGCCGCCAACTTAGTCTCCAAGTCAGACTTGGCAGCGTCCAAGTCTGCCTGCATGCGCTCGGCAGAGACGGCAGCGTTAATGCCCTCTTGCGCAATCTTGGTGATTTCCCGCGTGGTAGCCTTGCAGAGGAGCATCATCTGAGGCGCGTAAGCACAAAGAACAATGCCATTAGTACCAAGTAATCAAATGATAAATAGTGCAAGGGAAGTCCGGTGCGCCTCATTACCTGGACGCTCATGTTAGTCAGCTTCAACCAGGGCTTAGCAGATATCAGGCTGTCCGGATGCTCCACCACATCATAATGCGCCCTCGCCATCTGCAAAGACGCAGGGACTTCTTTTGCTGCCTTGACGGGAACGTCCACTGGCACCTTGACGGGAGGGCGTCTGGGCTGAAAGTATGGAGGAATCACCTGGCCAGTGTGCTCCCCAATCGTGGGCTCTACAAAGCTGGGCGGCAGCCCAGACCTGCTTGTAGTGGCGATCTTGGCTTTCTTCCCCTGACCGCGCAAGGCGCCACCCGCTCTCTTACGAGACGTGGCGGAAGAAGGAGAAGAAGGAGTGCTCACCCCGACAGTTTCTCGGGGCGTGGAGTGGGAGGATGGAGTTGAAGCAGATGAGGCTCGGAGCTCGGAGATCGGCGAGTCACGGACGGCCGCCTCACCTTCTGAGCCGACCGGTTGAAGGGAGGCGCCGCGTCCCGTCGATGAGGCGCTTGCAGCCGCTGCACCTCTCACTCTCTGAGGCCGCACTTGTACATGGGCGATGGGCCGTGTTTGGACCGGCACGGCACGGGCACGCTTCGGGCCCATTTATTTCGTGCCGTGCTTGGCACGGTCCGTCAGTTTTCGTGTTGTGCCATGCAAGCCCATTTGTTAATTTTGCTAGGCCTGGCTCGGGCCCGGGCATGATTCGAATCGTGCCGTGCCTATTCGTGCTCGACATGCTCGTATTCGTGTTTAATGAAAATGACTAAAACAAAAGAGAGAATGAAAAAGAAGGTGAAAATTGGACGGGGGAAGATAGTATTAGCCGATAATGTTTGAGAAAAATAACAAATAAGCGGGGGAAAAAATTGGAAGTATAGCGAGTGTGATTTGGCTTTGTTTAATTCTTTGTCCATTTTTACTTATGTTAGTAATTACGTATATATCTTTATGACACTCCTAACAACAACAAATAATTATTTTTCTACTTGTGTTTTGTAATATTTGAACCTATAATTCTTTTCATATTTATTTTCTATCAAATAAATATGATTTTGGTACCATGTCCGTTCTTTTACTCAATAAAGTCTCGAAAATATTAGGCCCGACACGGCCCACTTATATACCGTGCCGTTCCCGTGCCAATGAAGTTTAGGCCTGGCACGGCCCATAAATTATTCGTGCTCGTGCTGGGCTGGCCCATTTATTTCGTGCCCGTGCTCGTGCCGTGCCGTGCTAGCCCGTGGGCGCGTACAGCTGCACTCTCTTCGGCCGAGGCGCCTGGTTGGTAGGGGCGGCCCGGCCGGCATTCACATTGCGGAGTAGGTCGAGCTTCAACCTTATCAAGTTGGTCACCGAGGTGAAGTCGGTCCCTACACCACACCAAAGAACAAAAGCGCATGAGAACTACAAATCATAGCATTCGTGAAGCGCTTAAGCAATAAAAGGGCGCATAACCAATACCATCGCCGTAGAATTCGGCGAGAACGCGAGCATACTCCTCTCCTGTCTCGAGGTCGATAGGGTGGGCGGATATGCACTTGGCCATGGCCTCATCAGCCTGGCTAAGGGGCTCCACCTTGTTAAAAGAAAAACGATTCCCGGGGGACCACTCCGAGCTCACAGGGCGCCCGCTCGCAAAGAAAGGCACTTTGCGTGGTTTGACGAAGAAGAAAGAGTCAGACCACATGTGCCCCATCTTCACGCAGCTACTAATGAACCCATACCCTAGCGCCGTGCGCCTTTGCAAACTCAGGCAGTTGGCGCTCTTCGTCATTTTGAAGAAGTGTTTAAAAAGTTTGAAGGTGGGGGCAACATGGTGTCTGTGGCACTGGTAGCAAAAGATAACTGTGTATAAAATAACGGCGGGAGAAAGGCGCGCAAGGGAGCAACAACAGGAGGTCATGACGCCCTCGAGGACAGGCTCAATGGGGAAGCGCTGGCCGAACCGGATGAACTCCTGGTACACGCCTACCCACCCTTCGCCGCACAAACATATCCGCGCCTCCGGAAGCGCATGGATGTACCGCCAAGGCACGGGTAATTGCGCACAAACGACGAGTTTTTCCAACCGCACCCCCAACTGCTTCGAAGCATGGTGCGAGCCGGCATCTTCCACGGGTGTCCTCGAAGTGTCCTGGGGCACATAACCAGGAGGCCACATCGAGTCCCATGGCCGAAACATGTAGTCCTGAGGCACAGGGGCGCTTGTGTCAAAGGAAGGGGCAAGGGGTAAGGTAGAGGGTGGAAAAGGAGGCGCGGCGCCCAAAAGAGAAGTTTCGAATCAGACAAGAAAAAGTATTTGGGGGCGCATTAGCCCTATGTTCGCGCCAACGGGAGGTTTCGAATCAGACAAGAGAAAGCAACAGAACAATAAGAGGCAAGGCGCACGGCAGTAGAGACTTACTGGGAGCAGCAGGGGCGTTTGCAGCCTGGTCTTCGGCAGGCGCCTGGGGCACAGGAGGCGCGGAAGACGAGGGAGGCCATCCACGATGGGAGGAGCAGACCCGCGGACGGCGGCGATCCGTTCAGCAGATGGCGCGGGAGAATTGGAGGGGAGAGGAATTTGCCGAGAAGACGCCATAACAAACTTGGAGGCGCACGAAGCAGAGCAATTCAATAGCAGTTGAGAGGTTTGGTGGCTAGAGAGAGGAAGTAGAGAGAGGATGATAGCGAATTGTGAGGACTGTGAAGGAGGAAGGGGGGTTTTATAAGGAAGGCCAGGCGAGTGGGGGAGAGAGAGAGAGAGAGAGGAGGAAGGCGAAGAGGCCTCACCAATCCGCTCCTGATTTCGAAATTTGAATTTCGAACCCATAGCGGATTGGAGGGAGAGAGAGAGTGGGAATCGCAGGGGGCACAGCGGCACAGAAAGAGAGGTGGAAGAGGAACGGTCGCGCAAAAGAAAAAGAAAAAAGTGGGAAATATATACATAAATGGATAAAATAGAGAGAGAAAAAAGTATAAATAATAAAAAAGAAAAAAGTATATAAGGAGAAGCAAAAGAAAAAAAGATGCGCATGAACCCGAGGGTACCATAGGGAGCGGACGAAGCGCTAGAGAGAGCGCAGGGCGTGTGCCTAAGAGGATCGCTCAAGTCCCGATCGAAGAGGCGCGTAAAGGCAGGTGGTGACGCAGAGAGGTGGACGAGTGTAGTTAGGCCCCTAACTGTGGGCGTTAGGCGCCTAACTGGGGGGCAATTGTTGTGGGAATAAAGTATGGGCCAGAGGCCAACCCAAGAGGAAAGGTCCAAAGAACTGTGTTAAATGGGCACAAGCATGGGCCCAACCAGAGAAACCTAAAGAAGCCCATGGAAGCAAGGACCGTGGACTGAGAGGCGCGTGGAGAAGGGCCCAAACTACCAGGGTGGCGCGTGAGACAGGTGGGTCCGGACACTTGGCGAGAGGTGCATGGGACAAAAGACATCAACGGTCAGAAGTGTACGAAAAGCTGATGGCATGATGTCATGACTCATGCGCCTCAAACCTCTGACTGGAGTGTTAGGCGGTCGAGGCGCATGCGCCAGGGTTGTATGGTGCATTTATGGCGGAACTGACACAGGGCGAGAGCGACGGATACCGGTCGATCTCGCCCCGAGTATAAATAGTGAAGTACGTAAACCTCATTTACTCAGTTTTTGCTTCTCTTACTAGAACTGTTCCTCACTTCTCTCTCTAAAAAGAAGGGTTCTCACTTGGGCGTCGGAGTGCTAACGGACCAAACCGGTCCGCTAGGCGCTTGTATGTGCAGGCAGGCGAACGAAGAGAAGCACATTGGAGATCGGAGCGCGGAGCGGAGAAGGAAGGCTTCTGGGCATAAACACTTATGTATTACAATAAGTCAATAACTATCACAAAAAGCAAAATAATATAAACCACTAAATATAATTTTTCTTAATTATGCATTGTAGATTATAAAAAAAACCTTCTCCTTTGAAGGAGTAATTTATTTTCGCTCAAATAATAATAAATAGATATCATTATGTATATTATAATTAAGGTGTTTCATTTTGGTGAAGTAGATATGTGATCATATTCATATCATATATGTTTTGAAAGATTAAATTCTTATTTCTTCAAATATTGAATATTATTCTGTAGATAGCAATTAATCACTTATTCATAAAAAAACAGTTAATGCATTTTTTTAAATTTTATGCTGAAATGAATGAGATATGACATGATTAAGAAAAATGAGTATTCAATATGTAGTCAAAAGTTCCTTTGAATCTGTGGGATTTTGTACTCTTAGCTTTTACCGGTAAAGAGCATTGGTAAATATTTGAGTTAGAATTAGACTCTACACTTCTTGATTATACAATACTCCACAGTCCACATACTCATAATGTAATATCCATATATATAGACCATGAAATAAAAACAAGTAGGGTATATTTTATACCCTAACATCTATTGAATGACAATAAGCCCAAATTCTCTAAACAAAAAATTAAAAGTCAATTTAATAAAATATAATAATCAAAGATTATGATTTGCTGAAATACAACAAAATGTATTCAACACTCAAATAATAGGAAATTAAATATACTTCATGATTGCAACTGTAGTTACCATATATATATATATATATATATGAAAACTTAAGAGATCATATTGATAGGCTTGGGGTTACCCGGGTATAGAATAGTGTGCATAACCCTTAATTATGCAAACTTCCATCACTAGAATTGGAGTCTTAGATTTTGGTGGGGTAAGAAAAGTCCATATTTACGAGGTGAGAATTATGACTTTATTTTACTAATTTTCTTAATATGCTCGTATATATTTTTCATTTTAATTTTAATTTCAAATTTTTTGTACAGATAGAATGACTTCGTTGTGATCTACAAAATGAAATATATTTTCAATATATTTCAAGAAAAAAATGTCATACCACTCATTACCACTATGGTACCACCTGCGTTTCAAACTCGTATTTTGAATTTTTTTGCACAAATGGAACAAACACTTCTTGATCTATTGGATCTACAAATTTCTAAGGAAAAAAGGCCCAAAATGTACCTCTTTTATCACCTGGTGTAAGAGTGCTAACTGGTGGTAAATGACCATTCATATATTTTTATTATCATATATTCAACCGTCCTACAATATGTTATGTTTATACCACTATGGTACATTTTCGTACCACGTGGTATGATCTTATATAGTACCAAGCAGTACCACCATGGTATATACTAGTAAATATCCTAATTTTTGTGTCAAAAATATATCAAAGTGAATATTATTTTGAAGTGCACAATTTATCTGATTCATCAATGTAAAAAATATAAACTACGACTTGAAACGAAAAGGAAGCCCATTAAAATTTATAGAAAAAATATAAACGTCTTCTATAAATAATAATGTGACAGGTTATTATTAGTCATATAATTATGACGTGATAGTTGATACCCTCCCGGTTATCCATTATAGTCCCACTTGTTGATCAGTAATTTGGCCTTGTGGGCTGTGGCCCCTAAAAGATCAGCCGAGAGATACGACTTTGACCCAAATACCATACTCCTTTTTGCTTTCTTTTCGTCTGCTTTTTTTTTTTTTAAACGTGAATACATTCTTTTGTTGTGTTGGTTTTTGTTTTGTATGAATAATAATAATAATAATAATAATAAGAATAATAATAATAATAATAATAATAATAAACATCGACATAACTTCGCTCATGACACATTACTGGACATCTGTTAACAGGTTTAGAATTTCTGCTGGGAGAGAGGTTGATATCGGTTTGGTTGATGGGCATGGTGGACCCCTTCATCCTGTGGATTTGTTACTTTATTCTTGCGAGTCTGGGACAGGGGGCGAGATGTGTGTCAATCTGACTGGATCTTCTTCATTGACTCAGACTAGGATGACTGGTTTTATTCCCGGACGAGTTGTTGTTGATGCTGCTCAGCGAAAGTGTGTCAAGTATCGAGACTTGTGCATAGCAGCTGGTTATAGTTTCCTGCCCTTTTTCTTTTCTTCGTTGGGAGAGTTGAATAGGGATGTTGTGACTTACTCAAGCGGATCTAGAAATTCTCAGTGTCACAGGATGTGGGGGCTTGAGCAGCTGCATACATTTTTACTCGACTTAGCTTTGCTATAGCTAAAGGAGTGGGAGCCTAAATTATATTTCGGCTGCCTACTAATTTTTTTAGATCTTTGTTTGTTCTGATTTCCACTATGATAATAATATTATTATTATTATTATATAATAATAGAATAATACCAAGAACTAGAATAAAAACAGAGATAGCCGTTAATTTTCTGTAATAGTAATGCCCGAAGAGAGCACTTGGTAATAGTCAAGTGGGATGCAAAAACCACGTTTTTTCCACACCGACTTTTATATAATATATATGTCCCGACATTATTACAGATGGAATTAATCATACAGCCAAAGTTTTCGGCTCTCTTCCAATTTGACATTTTAGTTATTATCCTATTTAATTGCTTTTTTTTTTTTGTATTATCCTCTTCAATTTCATCTTTTTATTGCTGATTTTTTTTAATCTATTAATGATTATGCTTTTATTTCCCCATTTCATAAAAGCATGTGTATTAACAAGTCAAACAAAAATAGCTTGTTTTATAATAAAAAATACAATTGTTCATATAACTTATTTTAAGACCACAAAAATGAACACTCTCTATTTTATTTTCTCCTCTTTCGAAAGAAAAATATTATGTTGGCATTTGTAGTACTCTAAACAGGCCGATTACTAGTTTTACCAAAATGTCCTTATAATAGTTAAATAATTGATGGATAAAGTCACATAAACTTTATTCCAAAGTACGAGGGAAAATCCTTCTTAGTATTCAGCATAAGCAACATTTAGTCTAAAGTCCACCAACAATGCATGACCTTAAATAAGTTCCATCGAAAGCTCTTCGATCCACTTACCTTTGTGATGTCATCTTGGGCAAAAGCTACGTCCTTACGAATAATCTAGGTACTTCTGATTCCCACAACTCCTGAATGCAGGTGTTGTGGCCATTCCTAATCCTAATTTCGCTTTAGTGGTGAAAACTCATAATAACATGATTGAATAAATATATATGTTCGTGGAATGTTTAGTACATGATCTCACTTAAAATTAATTAAAAAGGTTTTCTTATGATTCTTTAGGGTAATGATTAATTATTAACAAACCATTTTTTGCATTTTTTTATTAGTCAAACCTATTAAATTACTAATAATTAGCCAAATCATTTGAATACAAAAAAATATTAGCCATTTTTCTTTTACCGTTAATAATTTCTAACTCTTTTCTTAGCTAAAATACTAAAGTTTTGGAATGTTAACCTCCATTTGCTCTTCCAAATCAGTATCATGTTGCCAAGATTACTAACAAAATTGCTAGCTAAAAGTTGAAATTTGGCTAATTATTAGTAATTCAATAGGTTTGACTAATAAAAAAGAATGCGGGAAAGGTTTGGCTAATGATTAGTCATTACCCTATTTTTTATGAAAGGGGGTCTCGAACTCAACTTAACTAGTGCAACTGTATGACATTCAAAACGTGATATAATGAACGTGAACTTCCACCTGATGGGAAGATATAACACGAGCGTAACTTGTTGGGTTCAAGGTGACAAAGGTGATTGTACGATGGCCTGATACCGGGTGACTTGGATTGTGATAGAGTCATGAACGATGTTTACTTTCCGAAAAAGAATTTTTCCACCCTCCACAAAGCCTTGGGTTACAAGAAATTTCTACCGAGTATAAAACTATCACCACTTTAGGTTCTAGGCTTAAGCACACTTAAGTATACTTACAAGTTTTTAGAATGATGAAATTTTGGTGTCTCAAGCCATCCACCACATGCCTCATATTTATAGTGAAAAATTCCAAACGTTGCATTATTTGAATTTTTTTTTTACTAATTGGCAATCCAAAACGTTAAAACATTACATGGCATTAATAAAACAATGGTTACTTCTGATGAGAATCACATAGTGGCATAATTGAAAGAAACATTTTCCTTCATTAATTAAACTATTGTAATTCCCAACTCACCATTAATTTGTCAATCCATGAAATTTAGCAACGTCCAGGAAACATTGATAGTTTGGTTTATTTGGCCCAAACCCAATTAAGAATTGGTCTGATCAGCTGGCTCAAACCAAATTTCCCACATAACTTTCACTTGACGAGAAGTACACTAGCATAACATGGATATTAATTATTAACTTTCTTTTTTCATTTTTTTCTTGTTTGTCCCACATTTGTGTGGGTTTTTTTCCCATTTAGTGGCCCTGAATTCTCTTTTCTTTTACTTCGTTTTGGTAATAATACTTGGTCTCATTATCCATAAAAATAAACATGGATATTAACTTCTACCTAGCTGGAAGTAACATAATTATGAACATGAATTCCACCTGTCGAGAAGTAGGGTAACCGTCTGCATAGCAATTTACGTGAGTTGATAAAAATGTATTCTTACTTGATAACTTGAAACGTAACTTGAAACGCAATGCCATGCTTACTGACTAAACATAAAGCTAATAAATGTAACATAAATAGATTACTTAACTAAATGATATAATTAGATAAATTAAAGCAATACTAACTAGTCCTCTAACTCACACACCTTATTAGGTTGATTAGGTCAAAAAATTTGTATCACCTACACTCAGCGGAATGTGCTTTAACGGCGTGATTCGCATTGGTGAACCAAGAACCATTATATTGGTGCTTACAAAACAAGCCCAAAACCGAAAATCAAATGCATATGATCCCATTTTGTGGTTCGGGGGGACCCCAAACCGGATACTTCGCCTATAAAGCTCGACTCTTTGACCAAACAACAAAAATCGAAACCCTTCAATTTTCAATCTACGACGTATACTCAGATTTCAAGTGAGATCTTTCAAAGAAGATGTGTGCAGCAGGAAGGAGGAATTTTGCATGGAATTCACAAAATAATAGATAGGAATATTGCAAATAAAGTCATTGTGATACCCAGCGAAGGGGTAGTTCCCCATTCATGAGCTACTTCACCATATTCCGAATTCAATGGTTTCAATAACGACCCTGCACCATTTTGTTTTGGACGAGATCTAGAACTACCTTCAACACTTTGTGTGGTCATAAATCCTATTTTGTATTAATTGAACCTGGTTGAATCTGTATAACATTTCGTTGTAAATATATGATTTATGTTCCTCTCGATGACCTATGTTGTGTCGAAGGGGTATCTATATGCTTCCATCGATTGCATAACACACATGGTAAGAACGGAACCAGGAAAAGTATAGTGAAAATAATTATTTTCTATTATATTAGTATTCGATTATTCTTAGTTAGTGATTCCGGGTCAGTGAATCCTTTCTTCTCAAATAAACTATTGGCACCAGTCCTATGAGAGAAGCAAGGAGGTCAATTTTTTTTTCTTGAGAAACAAGGTGAACTTCTTTCAAATATACAATATATATTCTGCCAGTACAATGTAGTTGGACTCTAACGTCGATTCGAATGAATTATCATTTCCAAGGAGGTAAATCTTTGCTTACTATGCAAGAGGATAATATGCTCTAAATATTATCTCGATAGGATATACATGTGTTTTCTTTCTATTACCAATACTATTAGTCTATTACTATGAAATTCATCACCCAATTCGTTAATAAATAAAATAGTGAGAGATATTTGAACATATAAAATAAAATAAAAATTAATAAGAGGACATTCATTATTATTTTAATGGCATATTGTACGACTTTTCAACTATATCCCCTCGTGGGCAATGACCTTTCCTTTCCTCTATAAATACCTGAAACTTCTGAAGCAGATCAGACCAGAGTAAACTTCAGTCCTTAAGCAACAATAATATCATCACAATAACAAGAAGGAAAGATTAAGCAGATGGGCAGAGCTCCTTGCTGCGAGAAAGCAGGGCTGAACAGAGGCCCATGGACGCCGGAAGAAGACCAGATCCTCATCTCCTACATTCAGAATCACGGCCACAGCAACTGGCGCGCTCTCCCTAAGCTTGCCGGTAATTGCCAATTTTTTGACCTCCCAGTTCCATCCCCTCCCCAGAGAATTCGAAAATGCGAAGTGAATAGGAATCTGAATTGGGGTTCCGTTTAATTTTGCAGGGCTTTTGAGGTGTGGGAAGAGCTGCCGCCTGCGGTGGATAAACTACCTGAAGCCGGACATCAAAAGAGGCCATTTCACCAGAGAAGAAGAAGACGCCATCATCAAACTCCACGAATCGCTCGGAAACCGGTGGTCGGCGATTGCGGCGAAACTGCCCGGAAGAACGGACAACGAAATTAAAAACGTCTGGCACACCCATTTGAAGAAGAGATTGCAGCGCAAGAAGAATGACGGAGGAAACTCGCCGCAGCAATCCACATCCTCATCGGAGAGCCAGAGCTCCGCACCTCTGTCGCCTCAGCCGTCGATCAGCGCTGGCGGTGCTGTTTCATCCGTAACCGAGAACAGGATCTCCGCCTCCGAGGCGTGGAGCTACGGGGTAACGCCGTCGCCGACGTCGCCGGAGGAGCTACCATTGATTGACGAGAGCTTTTGGTCGGAGGCGGCGGAGTCAGGGGAATTGACGAATTATTCGTCGGACTTTTCAGGGGAACACTTGCAATTTGATACCCAAGTTGATTCCTTGGACTTTTCGGTCATCGATTCTTCTGTCCCACTGATGGACGGCGGGTTTGTTCCGTGTATTGACGGCGCCATGGATTTTTGGTATGATCTGTTCGTCCAAGCCGGGGGAATTGAAGGATTCCCGGAGTTGCAGGGACATAGAAGGAACAGTACATAATAAGATCCGAGTAAACTAGTTTGTGGAGCAAGGCGGATTCCACTATGTAGATTATTATGACTTTCTTGGATACTAAACAGAGTTTTGTAAAGTTGGAAGACGTTCTGGTTAGATCAGCATAGTAGTTTGTTTTTTTCTCTGATACTGGATCAAAAGATTGCGACAGATCATGAACAAAGAATTGAGAAAAAAATTCACCATGTTTCTGTGCTGTTTTTCTCTTTACTGCCGCTGAAGATTTCTGCCCTTGATTACAAAAATCTCAGTGTCGCACAACGGATTCTTTGAAAGTTTCTCCCCCCAAAATTATGTCAAGATAGATAGTATATTGTTGACAAGTTGGGCTTGGTCGAGTTCAAGCTGGAAGTCGTTCCAATGAAAAACAAACTTATATTGCCATTATCCAAACCTCATAAAAATATATATAGATAGACTATTATTTTGTATATGTGATTGCTAGAGTTGGTGCATTCTCTAAATGCTTGCATATAAATTGATGTATTGTGTAAATGTGTGCAGTTTAAGATTACAGACACTTGGTAGTTGTGATTGTAATTTTAGAAATAATATGAAAAAGTTACTTTGAATGAAAATTCATGTTTACCTTTATTTTTATATTTAAAAGTCAACCATATATAAATTTGATAGGGATATAAAAGGAAATAAAATTTATTTCACATTAAAAAAAACACAATCTCAACAAAAAGTTGACATTGTATATCATTCAAAATGAAAGATTTCAAATGTCACATCAACAATAGAATGCATGCATTGAGTTTCACTTTGAAAAAAAAAAAACTATACAATGCATGCATTCATTAAATACATCATTTAGATATGCATATACCAAATGCCCTCTTATATACGTTGATGTCAATCTAAGCTTATTTGAGACAATAATTTAGAAAAACTTTATCAACTACATGTGGCAAATGGATTTGATTCAGGAATTGGTAGTTTAATTGAATTCTTGGATCCAAGTGTCATAATATTGTACTTATGTAAATTTTGGAAAGTTGAGGTACTAAAATATCATTTCAAAATATAATTTTTGAATAATATTTCGTAAAAATTTAAAATTTAGATATCAAGATATACAATATAAAAATTATAAATACTAAACCGTAACTTATCAAATATTCATGGAGGAAAACTTTGGATTGAACAGAACTGGAATGAATCCTTGCGTGGTGGTGGTGGATTTGTGCTGCTGTTCTCTGTTCGTGCGGGTTGATATGCGGGGGGAGGCTTCAGCTCGATAAATGGAAATCGGAGGGGGAAACACATTTTTGTTAGTGCTGATTGAGTCTGGGCGATACCCAGGAGTCAATTTCCTTTGATTATATGTTGTACACACGAATATGTAGGAGACTTTTGAGGATGCAAGAATAGAAGTAGAAGGAGATTGAAGAAAGGAAAGGTTGTGTTTCATTGTCAAAAGTCTCTTATTTTAACCCATTTCCTAAATAATTGAAAAGCAAACAGAGTAGCACCCGGCAGAAGCTTCGACGAACGACGAAGGTGGAGATGTTCAATTGTTCATGTTCCCCTGTTGCAGCCTCGCCGGGAACAGGGTAGCATCCGACCGTCGTTTTACTGTGTGAAGAGAGGGTTTGAACACATCATTTTATTTGTAAATCATAAAAAATGAACTCAATAAAACCTATTGCTACTTTCCTTTTGTTTCCCTGTCAGATTCCGAGCGGAATTAGGCTTCTTCAGTGCTTCACCGTTTCCTTTGCGGCAAAAGAAAACCCACCAGTTAACCACTATATTAAATTAAACTATCTCCTCCGTTAAACTAAACTTGGCTACGAGGGTCAGATCAACCAAAAGCTCAGTTTCTGGTATACTTCCACCAAATATTTTACTTTGTTTTAATCCAAACAACAGCCCAATGCAGAGTAGGATATAATCTTGTTACCTGGTTACATATAGTTCATGCAGGGTGCAGCTTAAGCCACCAAATTTAATAAGTTGTGTAAGTGAATAATAGTTGTTAGATTAATCAAAGATGGTTATTAATTAGCTAGTCGTTATTAGTAAAAGCCTTCTAGGTTTGGAGAATTGGCAAACCCTCAAAAACTAGAGAGCTGCCTTTGATTCCATTATATAGCAGTGTGTTCTGATAAAACAGTCACTCCAGAGTTGGCCAAGTGGCAGCATGCCATTGGTGACGATGCCAGGCCACTGGAAAGTAATCGTCGTCTTCCTCTGGGAAAAGTATTGACGGTGGAAGAGGGGAAAATAATCAGGGAAGAAGAGAGGAAAAGTAATCGTCGCTCAGTTCGACCAGGATCCTAAACCCGGAATCGGAATATTATTCTGCTTCACCTTCAATCCATTGCGGCAGTAGCAAAAGTATCAGATGTAATTCAATTAAACTGAATGCGTGAGGAAGAAGAAGGGTTAGTAAAGAGGGGAAAAATAATCTCGGAGGGTACAGTTAGAGTTAGGGACTTTATTGCAAATATCAATAATTTTAAATTCAGTTAATAATTAATTATAAACAAACCGAATTATTGTAACTGTTAGATGCATTCAATGGTTAAGATTAAACAAGAAAATGGGTACGTTCAGTGCACCCAAAAAAATAGGTGCGCTGAAGACGTCGCCATATATATATATATATATATATATATATATCAATAATAAAATTATGGTACTGACTATACCACATCAAATATTCATGAATCTAATCCATGAATCCACAAAATCCAATTGAATTTGGAATAAATGCACGGGATTTAAATAGATTGAGTTAGTTGATTTTTAGTGGATGATATATGGATGAGAATGGATTGTTGGATTGGATTCCATGTGAAAAATATTTCTTTAATGATTGATAGATGAAATCTAAAACATTAACATTTCTAATACTATTTATTTTAAATTACATCCCATATGAGTTGATCAATCTCGACTCGGATTCCACAATAAATTAGCTCGACCTGATTCGACCGGTCACATGACAAGTATGATATTGAGATACTTCTCTTCACCTGTCCATTGCCATTCTTATGGCTCCGAGTTAGAATTCAAAATGGCGCACCTTCTCATGATGCTCAAATTAATGGAATCATTAGATAATAAATTAATCCAATGGTCCATATGCACATACTCACAAAGGGTAAAATTTTCAAGAAAAAATATGGGTAAATTACACATTTGGTCACTCAAATTATATAAATCTTTCATGTTTGCCACCCAAATTACTTTTCTTTTTTATTCGCCACTAACAGTCAAAAGATTTAGTTGACTGCCACGTAGGATGATTTTAACGGAGTTGGACGGCCGGTGACTAATGGTGAAACGATTTGTAAAGTTAGTGGCGAATAAGAAAGAAAAATAATTCGAGTGGCAAACGTGAAAGATTTGTATAATTTGAGTGACCAAACATGTAATTTAGCCGAAAAAATATTAAAAATCTGTCCCCTCCAACCTAATGTCGCCTCCCTCCATGTACCTTCTAGGGGTGTTCAAATGGATTGGTTATAGTGGTAATCATTTTAATAGATAGTACTCGAATAATTTGGTATGGTTAATTTGAATAATTGATTTGGTTAAACTTTTTAGCTTGTTTGGTTTTGTTAGTTTGGTTTGGTTTGAGTCATTGCTAAATAATCAAACCATTTAGAAAATTAGTCATATATAAAATATATTGTATTAGACAATGCATAATACTTTATATAATCACTCAAAAGTCAAGCTATCTTCCCTTTTGGATCCATAAAAAAAGTTTCTAATTATTATGTTTTATTCATTATATGTATTGTGTAGATTGCAATATGATTGTGCCAACTCTATCTCTACATATAATTATAATAATAATAATAATAATAATAATAATAATAATAATAAATACACATAATTCAAGAAAATGAATACAATATATCATATCTTTGTGCCTCTTCGGGGAAAAGGTTAGTGTGCTAACACTCAATTTGTTAGTGTGATACTAATACTAGTTTCAGCGAGTAGAAACATTTTATTTTGAAGATTTTTTATTTATTTTATAGGGTTTATCATAATTAATGTTGTTTTTTCATGAGAGGGGCACACTTGTCATTATGAAAAATCACCACACCACAAATAACATAAAGTAGACTAGAAAATCTATAAAGCATACCAGAACATCACCACACCATAAAATTTATAAAGCATACTGAAAATTCAAAGCAGAACACAAAGTCTCTAACGCAAACCAAAAACCTAATAAATAGATTACAAGTTTCCTAAAACGGACAAAAAACCTAATAAAGCAGATCACAATTTTCATGAAGCAAACCACAAGTTCCCTCAAAACAGAGTACAAACCTCATAAAATATACCACAAGTTTCATGAAACATACATAAAACATACAAAGCGAACCATAAATTCCTTTGGAGCATAACAGAAATCTCATAAAACAAATCATAAATTTTTTGAAGTGGACTAGAAATATCATAAAGCATATCACAAATTCTCTCCAAATCAAAAATATGTGCAGCCACACCAGAAGATCTTCTGAAGCATATTGAAAAGATTAGAAACTACAACAGAAATCTCACGAAACAAATTAAAAATGTTATAAAGGAGGACAAGTAAAAAAAAGAACAAACGTTATTACGTTGTTCTCGAAATACTTTATGAGATGGGAAATTGGGAATAGGAAAGTTTGAATCTTGTTTTGTTGCTTATTGCTTGTCTAGTAACAAATAACAGTGACACTACCTTACCTACTGAAACATGACGGGATATCCGGATATGTATACTCTTTGATCCGCGAGGGGAACTTAAAAACAAAGACAACTACTAAATAATCAAACCAAAGACGAAAGATCATAAATCAAACGTCTGACCAAACCGATTGAGAGACGACTGATCGATCTTACCATTTGCAGTCAAGCCAGAGAGATTTGTTTATTAATTTACGTGTCATTTTCCAAACTCTATTACTGGTACGTAGTAGACCCACAGCGGAAGAAGATTATCATGAAAGCAATATAAATTGTTCTCTGGTCTGTCAACAATGTAGCTAGAGTTTCTACGTAGAAACATTTTGGTGATTTAGAAGCGTAAAATCGTAAATTTTTAAGGGGTTGGTTGGAGGTTGGAATTTTCCGAATTGAATTATTTAATCAATTTGTGTATCGTAATTTAATGTATTGATTAAATGTATGAATTTGAAAAATACCTTGTTTAGAGGTTTACATTGTGCTTTGTTATAAATGTAAAAGTAGAGGTAGACAATTCCTTGGTCACAATCTCACCTTTTGGTAGAGATTGATAATCACTAATTTTGAGTGATTGTGGGTGGACCCAGTAAAAAGGTAATACATGTATTTTGTCACAAATTTAACGAAAACAAAATGACTTAATCTTGACATTACATGCATTGGCTAAATACATCGCTTGAAATCTCAACTTCCAAACGACCCCTAAATTTTAAAATAGAGTTTTTAACTACACAAGTTATAAAAACTGAAATTTTGTGTAGAAGCGTTTTAGTAATCTAAAAACGTAAAATCATAAGTTTTTAAGTTTCTAACCACGTTTTTACTACATTGTTTGTCACGTCCCATAATTCCATCTTGACATCTTGCCCGCGTGCGGTATCTTCAGTCCGGCCATGGCTCAGAGAGGCGGACTCATAGCTAAAACTATATCTTGAGCGATTGCCCTGAACTCGACCCCATTCACAAAAGCATAGACAGAATCGGATCTGGCTTCATGAAGCTTCAACTCTGATCCAAGAAGGATTCATCTATAGTTGGGGAAACCAAGTTTCACACCCAATTCCTTTTCTTCCCTTATGTTTACTTTCTCACGTTCTATTCCCCTTGTGTAAAAATACAGTATTTTTTCCCCAAACTAATAGACTTCATATATTAGCCACAATTATTAAGAAGCGGGAAATTATAGTCACAACTATCGAAATACAAAATTATTAGCCATAACTATTGATACGAGTCAAAATATGGCTAACAGTCCATTATAGTCGTTAATTTTGTAAAGGAGAGTGCCACGCTAGCAGCCACGTAGTCTTTCACGTCAGATTACTTTTGACTTATAATTTTAAAACAAAAGATAAATAACTAAATAAAATCCATCCCCTCATCTTCTTCTCTCCTTCCTCTTCTTCCTCCAACGTCACTAGAGACCTTTTGCTAGAAGTCTCTCCTCCTCTACCGCCGCCATGTCATCCTCCTTCACCACTCGCCTTCTTATCTCTTCTTCTGATTCCTCCACCGCCGACAATGCTGTAATCATATCCTTCCACCGCCCCAGTGCGGATCTCCCTTCTCCTCATTCGTCAATTCCTCTACCGCTGTCGTCGTTCATTCCACACAAATCAATCGATGAATAAAAAGATGGGAGAAGAGAGATGTGAGGCGATTTGCGGTGACGACCGAAAGAAATCCCCAGATCTGGGCGGAACAGCCCCTCCCACTTACCGACCACCTAACAATTTTGTAAACTGTCAGTTTTTGGTTAACCGATAACCGATTGTTATTGGTTAAAACTGTCGGTTAGATGCTAACCGAAAACTGACAAACCAGCACTACTTTTCCCCTGCCTCTTCTCGACTGAACTCAATTCCCCTTCTTGCATGCACACCATACCGTAACTCACTTCCTCGTTCTTGGTCAGAGAAGGGGGGGGGGGGGGGGGGGGGGGGGAGGCTTCTTCTTGAAGATTTGGTGCGGGAAGAGCTAGGTGTCTATGGCGGGGAGAAGGGCACTCAAAAGCGGAGAGGCGACTGGTCATCTGGCTTGGGGAATTGGTTGTTGTCCTTGGGGGTGTAGGGATTGGATTGGGAGGCGTTTCGTTGGTGATTGAGGAATTAAGAATGGCAGAGGTAATAGGAAGGTTCTGGTTGGCAGAGGATGGGGTGAAGATGAGAGGGAGATTTTGGGTGGAAAGGGGAATGGAAGGTTTGGGTTTGTTGGGTCTGCGTTTGCTCAGAGGAAGGAGCTTTTTAGAGTTCATCGGAGAGGACGAGAGAGCGTAGGAAGAAGAAGAAGAAAAGGGAGCGACCAACTTCTTTTAATTTTTAGAACTTTTTCCTTTCATTTTCTTAATTATTTAATAATTTATTTTTTAAATTAAAATATGATATGGTGACTGCCACGTGGGAGACAGCTCAACATAGTAAAACCTTAGTCAACATTATTAATAGATTTTCTAACTGAGAGTTAACATTTGGCTAATAATTTGTATTTTGATAGTTGTGGCTATAATTTTCCGCTTCTTAATAGTTGTGCCTAATATATTGTATTTACCAAAAAAAAATTCTCAATATGCATCACTTTGACCAAAATTTTCCCAAACTACTAGAGTTTGGTGCAACATCTCCTCTTACCATCGGTATCAAGCTCATCCCTCCATCATTTTGACTTTCCTGAGTCTCCTCCTGAATTTCATGGAATTCCTTCAGGCCCGACCTAGACCCTGTGTTGGTAAGATCCACAACACATGCCTCAATTTTTTGGGACCTCAGAATCCAGAAGTCTGGAGGCGGGATAAGGCCAACCTGGGCCTCATAGCGGAGCCGCAGCTCCTTGGGCTGGCAAGGCCCACACGAAACAACACCAACAATGAGGGAAGGGAATTGAAGCATGGACCTCCTTCTTATTAAAAGGAGATTCAACCACTGAGCTAGGAGTTGTTTGATAAATTTAAAGTAATAATTGTAGTATTAACTCCTCTCTTCTTCTCTTTCTCGAAAAGTTCTCAACTTTCCAAAACTATCCAACGCCCAAATATTAATTATTCACACTCAATTCTAATTAACTCCTAATCAATGTCCATCCCTACTATACAAGCTCCTAATCAACTTGTTTTAAGTTCTAACCTTTTCCCATTTCTTTTGCGGGAACTTAAAATTGATTGGAAATTTGGAATATTTTAATCTTTGGTTATAATTTTTAATTATGTCAACCCAAAATTTTGAAAAAGCTAGCGTAAAAGAAAACAGGGAGTTGAGGAGTTTGGATACTAGTAGCCGATCTTGATGGCGATTCGAAAATTAGAAGTGAAGTTAAATATTTGGCACAAAATGAACTTGGTGATTTCGAGTTTATTGTTTCATTAGTTATTTTATATGAAATATTGCACTATACAAATTCGGTTAGTAAAAATTTAAATCCAAAAATATGCTTATTGATGATGTTATTATAGAATAGATAGATTGATTTCGGTTTTCAAAAGATACAAAGAAGATGAAAGGGCTAATAGAGGATTTGATTTCAAATGATAATAATCATTGTTACTTTTTAAACAACGATAGATAATATTATTAATTTTTTAATTATTTTATTTTTAATAAATTTGCGAAAAATTTTTTGTTGCCATATTTTAAATTGTCGAACAGGACCTCTGAATATCATGGGACGATCCTGAATTCCTTTCCTCCATTTCTAGTCGTCTAGTGCCCATCGTCGCCACCAACCACTGTCGTTCTCTCTACATTCGCTCATCCTTCGGGCCTCTGAGCCCACCCATTTCCAAGACTATTCGACAATTTTGTGCACTATATCAGCTTATTTTTGTTCGGGCCGAACCAACTCGATGCCAATCCCTACTTACAAGAGGAGGAGGCACTAGAAATTGTATTGATTTTAACATTTCTTTGAAAACTAACTCCTTGGATGTCTTTGGAGAGAATCTGCTGAAGCTCGAGTGAAGAACTTGAAAGCTCGTATAAACCAAGGGATAAACAAGACTACACTACAAGAGCTAGCCAATTTATGGCTCTTCTCTTCCTAGCCAATTTCAGTTTCTTCCCATCGATAAGTCACTCTGTTCATTGATGGGCGACCTCATTTTATCCTATGCACCAAAAGTACTAGTTCACCTTTCTCACCATCCTTCCAAATCTCTAAACTTCGCACACAAAACTCCAACTTTGACCAAGGAATCCTCACCCCCTTATAATTGGTGAAAACCAAATTTAGGCAATCAATTACTATGAACATAGGTTTAAAGAGTGAATGCATGCAGGCAGTCATCAAGCTCCATCAGAAGGCGTTCGTCTTTGCCATTTCTAGTGACCAATTCACCATTGTCCTTCGTATAGTCACCATCTGGAATCTCATGTATGCATCTCTTACCGCCACTTTATAACATGTTCCTCCCCACGATAAGAACGCCACATCAGAATTCACTTTCTAAAAGCTTTGGCTTGGTCTCTCCCATCAAAAATTCATTTTGTCAACGCCTGTATATTCTCTTTCATATGGTACTGTGTGTGTACTCCTCCAAGTATGCTTATGATCTCCCTAATCCCTATTATATATCATTCTTTGAGCTTTGAGTTATTTAACAAGTGATTGTTTCATTCCTTCTATAGGCACCAAATAGCAATTAGGAAAAAGCACATTCTTTGTTAGTAGCTTTCTCTAGGAATTCACGTATCCATTCTTCGCTACACTTTCCTTCTCCTCATTTGAACATTCCTCCTACAAAACTCTATTGACATACTCTTCTCGCCCAGTCATGATCTCTGGTATTGTGTTAATGTGTCTCTTGTAGTCCACAAAATGGGCATTTGTTACATGCCTTCTCTGTTCTCTTCACCAAACTTGCTCCTCGTAGAAGTATACTACTTTCCCATCACTGTACAAAGATCCGAACCTTAGGAGAAAGATCAATCATGTTGGAGAACTTTGCATTCATAAGAATAGGGTTGTGTGAAACCTTTTGTTTCATTAGATAGAATGTAAGATTTACAAGCATTATATATAGCTAGACTAGAGAAACCCTACCATTTACAATGGTCACTAAACAGTGTTTAACAAACTAATGCTAACTAACAATTGAAAGCAGCCAATAGGATAGATACAGGTGGCTAAGAACAAGCGAAATCTTTAAGTGAAGTGGCGAGGATATCGTGCTGAGCAAACGACGTCGTAGTGTGCTTCTTCAAGCAGCAAAGATCAAAGCTTAACTCCGAGACGTGGGTTCGAAACCCAGTCCAAGCTATCCTTCAGACCCCCCCCCCCCCTCAAGGTGAGGAGTGTAGATGTTGGAAACTCCCAACTTGAGAAGAAGGAAATGCAGTCTATGGCAACTTAGTGCCTTGGTAAAGAGATTAGCAAGTTGAAGCTCAGACCTGACATGAGTCACCGTGATGATTTTTTGCAAGATGTGTTGTCGAATCAAATGGCAATCCACTTCTATATGCTTTGTTCTCTCGTGGAAAACATGTTTATGAACAATGTGGATTTCATAGTGGTTGTCATAGAACAGGGCTTCTGGTTCTGTACACTGTACTCCCATTTCAAGAAGCAATTGCTTCTGCCAGACCATTTCAAAAGACAACATGGCCAGAGACCTGCATTCAGCTTTAGAAGAGGATCTTGATACTATCTGTTGTTTCTTAGCTCTCCATGTAATGAGTGATTCACCTAAAAAGGTGCACTAACCTGATAGGGATCTCTTTATATCAAGGCAAGCTGCCCAATCTGCATATGAATAGCCTTTCAACTGAAGTGTTGTACTTGTCTTAAACAGCAAGCCTTGTGTTAGATGTCCTTTGAGATACGTGAAAACATGATGGACTGCTTGCATATGTTGATATGTTGGTTCCTTCTGGTATTAGCAAAGCTGTTGAACAACATATGTAATGTCTGGTCTAATTGTGGTAATATACTGTAACTTCCAACTAGCCTTCTGTAAAGTGTTGAATCTGGTAGCATGTTTCCAGCACCAGCAGATAGTCTTGTCTTCATGTCAATGGGAGATAAAGCGGTTTTGCAACTGAGGAATCCAACATCTTCAAGCAAGTCTAAGAAGTACTTCCTTTGGCAAACAAAAATGCCTTTTGAACTTCTGGCTATCTCAAGTCCTAGGAAGTACCTCAGCAATCCCAAGTTTTTGATCTTAAATTCCTTTGAAAGGAATTGTTTTTCCTTAACTTTCATTGTTTCATCATTTCCTGCAATAATGATGCCATCTACATACATTAACATAAATAAGAATAGACTGATCTTGAATCGAGGTGAACATAGAATAGTCTGCTTGGGATTGGACAAAACCATACTTAATCAATGAAGCAGTAAGCTTGGCAAACCACTATCTGCTTGCCTGCTTTAATCCATGTAAAGTCTTCTTTAACAAACAGACTTGTCTGTGTTCTGATTGTTTAATTTCCAATCCAGATGGAATGTCCATATAGACAAGTTCATCTAAATCCCCATGAAGGAAGGCATTGCTTACATCCATTTGATGTAAGTGTAAGTTCTTAACTGCTGCAACAACAAGCAAAGTCTTTACTGTATTGATTTTTGCCACTGGAGAATAAGTATCCAAGAAATCAATACTGGTATTTGTGTGAATCCTTTCGTCACCAACCTTGCCTCATACCTCTCCACAGCGCCATCTGGACTAAGTTTCACCTTAAACACCCATTTGCACCCACTATTTTCCTGGCTGGAGGAAGGTCAACTATGTCCCAAGTATGATTCTCCTGCATAGCCATCAGTTCTTCAATGATATCTTGTCTCCACCATTCATACTTCATGGCTTCTTCAAATGATTTTGGCTCCATCAGTTTGAGAACACTAAGGGCATAGGCTGCTTGATAGGATGAGTTAAGGTTTTGATCAGAAATGAAATTTGTTAAAGAATGTTGGCTAGTGTTTGTTGGTTTGAGGTTAGGTAAGGTTGTTTTGTAGTTTTGAATGAGATATTCTGGAGGTTTGGAAGCTCTTTCAGACCTTCTAAGAACTGGTTCTGGTTGTGGAGGAGGTAGATCTATTTCATTTTCCACTTCTGCTTCATCTAAATCCTCCTCTTCATCATAATATTGTTATGGTGGTGTCAAAGGTATAAAGGTTGAGGATCCGGATTTGGGGGGATTCTGGTTAACTAGAGATGGGATAGGAATATTTTCTAGTTCTGGGAATGGATCAAAAGAGGTAGGTGCAAGGACAATGTTTGTGGGATCATTATCATTATGTGATTGGTCTTTCTTATATGGAAGGATCTGCTCATAGAATTTCACATCCCTGGAAACAAACACGGCACGGCTTGACAAATCTAGCAGCTTGTATCCCTTCATACCTGGGGTAAAACCCCGGAATACATACTGCCTAGCCCTTTTCTCAAACTTCCTTTTTCCCTATGACAGTGTTCCAGCATAACTCAAGAATACTCTCAAAACACTATAATCTAGTGTCTTGCCATATAACTTCTCAAATGGGGCCAGATTCTCCAATAAGGATGCATACAACCTGTTGATTAGAAACAATGCATGTAAAACACAGTCTCCCCAGAAAGACAAAGGTAATCCTGCTTGAAATCTCAAAGCCCTTTCTACATTCAGGATATCCTGTTGTTTCCTTTCAACCCTTCCATTCTGTTGTGGAATTTCAACACAGGAAGTTTGATGTAATATTCCATGCTCACCATAAAAACTTGGCATATGAAGCTCCAACCCTGATATGACCTTATGGTCTTTACCTTTTTATGAACATTCACCATAAAACAGAAATCTTGAAGCAATTTTCTGGCTTCGGAATTAGCTTTCATCAAGAAAACCCACAAGCATCTACTGGAATCATAAATAACAGTCAAGAAATAACGAAATCCCGTGTAACTCATTGCAGATTGGGGTTCCCAAATGTCAACATGAACCAAATCAAAGGGTTCTACAGATACTGAACGGCTTAAGTCAAATGGCAGTTTCTTTTGCTTTGAAAAAGGACATGTCTCACAATGGTCTATTACATGTTTTCTACTACTGGACTAGACTTTTGGATGATGTTTTGTCTCAATGCAGAAGGATGTCCTAGCCTGGAATGCCAAAGATCAAGGTTTTGTTGATTAGAGTTGTAGGTTGCTGCAATGGTGGGTGGCCTGGTCCTGACATCTGGGATATGAGAAATTCATTGAGACATTTGATAAAGACCTCTAACTTGATGGGCCAAGCCAATCCTCCTTCTGATAAAAAGGTCCTGGATTTCACAGAATGAGGACTTGAAAGTGAGTGAGACTGGTAAAGTTTTAGTTAGTTTACTAACAGAAATGAGGTTGAATGAAAAGGATGAGACATTAAGGACATGGTGAAGAATGAGGCCACATGGCAACTTGACAACACCTATGTGAGGGGTCTCCGCCTTTTGACCATTAGGCAAGGTTAGAAACAAATTTCTAATTTCCTTATGAGCAAGAAAACACGATAATTGCAAGATATATGGTCTGTAGCACCAGTATCCACAATCCACATATCATGTAATTTGAAAGATTGAGATTGAACTCCTGTAAGAAGTGTTAACTTGCCTGCAAAGTTAGGGAAAGTAGGCAATTGTCGAGAAACAGAATTTGCCTGTGGTAGCATCCCAGGGGATCTAGGTCTTGTGGAACTTGGAGAGGTTGCATGAGAATGTTGCAACAGATTGAGAAGTCTGTTACAGTCTTCAGTGCTAAGCTTGAGGTTTTTATAGCCACTGTTTTCCTCATCAGAATTTCCCTTCGAGGAGACATCACCAGCAGGATTGGACACTGAGTCAGCAAAGTTGTTGTGACCTGCTTCCATCATCTTCTTGTTCTTAGCTTTCAGCTCCAGCAATCCTCTTTGACATGGTTTTCTTTCTTGCAATATCTGCTAGAAAAGACCATCCTAAGATGATGTTGTACCCTTCCTTTGATCCTTTCCCCTACTACCATCAACTGCTAAGGCTATTCCTTCATCTCCTTTGGTCCCAGTACCATGTGGATCTAATTGTCTTTCATGTTGCAGGACATAACTGAATGCAGATCCTATGCTAGGCATAGGCTTCATCATCAACAAATTGGTACGCACTCCCTCATAGCTATCATTCAATCCAGTAATAAACCTCAGAACATAATCATCATGTATGAACCCTCGAAGGGTATTGAGAACCACTGTTGCTGGGCAATCTGCCTGAGGGTAAGCATTACACACAACAGTTCAATACTGGACATACTCTTCCCCATATGTCTCAAGTCTAGTAAAGTACTCATTGATACTAGAACTTCCTTGTTTACAAGTAAAGATCTGAGTATGGAGATCCACCAACCTAACTGCATCTGCTTGACCATATCTTATTTTCAGATCTTCCCGAATCTAATATGCATTCTCAGTACTAGGCACACTTTCAGCAGTAGTTTCATCAAGAGAGTTAAGAAGCCAGCCCAATACCTGAGTGTTGTTAGCACCCCATTCTTCAAAGCCAGCATCAGTAGGATTAGGATGTGATTTTGAGCCATCAATGTATCCAAGTCGCTTCCTGGTTTTCAGAGCAACCCTCAAGGATCTGCTCCATAAGTTGTAGTTCTTTCCATTAAACTTGATTGAGACAATGGACTGTGGCACCAACTGATCCGCCGAGTTAGAAGGATTGGAAGAATTGGTTGAATTAGCCACTGTAGAGGACTGTGAAGGTTCAGTGCTCATTGTGAAGAAACCCTAGCAGAGTACTACTTGTGCTCTGATACCATAAGAAAAGGGTTGTGTGAAATCTTTTGTTTCATTAGATTGAATGTAAGATTTACAAGCAGTATATATAGGTTAGACTAGAGAAACCCTACCATTTACAACGGTCACTAAATAGTGATTAACAAACTAATGCTAACTAACAATTGAAAGCATCCAATAAGATAGATACAGGTGGCTAAGAACAAGCGGGCTCCTTAAGTGAAGTGGTGACGATGTCGTGCTGAACAAACGACGTCGGAGTGTGCTTCTTCAAGCAGTAGAGATCAAATTAAGCTTATCTTCGAGACGTGGGTTCGAAACCCAGTCCAAGCTATTTTCTTTCAGAATTCATCCCCTGCACTTGTGATGCTACTTTGTAAATATCAATATCTAGATTCCACTTGTCCGAGCAAATATTCTAATGTCGTTTCCTTCTCCAACACTCCATCTTGTGCATCTTACATCAAATTTTGAACCGACATTAAACTTATCCAAATATAACCTACTTCCATGTCCAGTATATCACAATCCCCATGTGGTATTTTGTTTTCAACACTCGAGCTACTAAAGACTTAGAGCTTGTAAGCAAGTTCCGAACTTGTACACCGGCTAGTGCTATGCCGAAGCCAAGTAGATCCCTAAATCCATGCCACCTTCTTCATTTGCCAAACAAACTTTTCCCCGGCTCATCAATGAATACCCCTTCTCTCATTCTTCTTGCTCCACCAAAATCCAAAAAACAGTTTTTAAACCTCCTGAATTAAATATTAAAGATATTTATAAAAAAAAACCCGACATTGCATACATTGTTTGGACATATAATTCATGGGAGAAAAAGTAAACAAAATTAAGAATACAAATCATCCTATGACATCGTAGTTCGCATATATTCTCAAAATTAAATTTATAGGAACATTTCCTAACACAAATTTGATTGTACTTTAAACTCGTAGACGATGAGTCACATCACATCAATAAAATAAAAAGAATTTCAGGAACACCTGGCTGGCAACAGGTTCTGTTTCTCGAGAATTGACTTGGTCTTCTGGATCTTCATGCCCGCCCTGAAATTATATATAAACTCCTCCGCCCTCACATCCACCGGCCGGAGCTGCGGCGACCTCGCCACCACTTCCCTCCACGCATCTTCCAGCGTCTCCATCGGATTATCGTTATTCTCCTCGTCATCCTTCTTACCACCCTTCTCCTCCATAATCACCAACGCATCTTTCTTCCTCCTCTGGATCAAAGACGACGCCGTTCTCACCGCCGCCCCTTCCCTACAACTATTCCTCGGCAGCGGCGGCCTTTTGTTAACATTACCAACCACCACTTCCTTGCCCCTCACTGACGTCGTCTCCACCCTATTCGTCGTCGCCGAGATTTTAACCTCGGCAGCGTCGTCGTTTTTATCATCATCGGCGTAGAGCTGGTCGATGAAGATGGCGGAGAAGCTCTTGCGGAGGAGGAGGTTGCGGTTGCTGCTACTTCTGTTGTAGTAGTCGGAGATGTAGTTGTGGTGGTTGTGATGGCGATACGAGGGCGTATTGGGGACGACCTGAAGGGAGCGGTTGTTGCGGAAGAGATGGGTGGAGCAGTAGGTGAGGATCCGATTCGTGCCTTTACGGATGACCCGGATCGCGCGGGGGAAGTCGAGGTCGTTGAGCTTGGATTGGAGCGTGTGGGCCAGACGCCGGAGGGCGCGCTTGGCCGGCTGGAGCTTCCTGCCGAAGTTTCCTGACGAGGAAGAGCGGCGAGGCATTTGAGAAGAAGAAAAGGAAATATATTGTGGAAAAGGGAGGAGCCTTCGGTTTTTGAGTTTACGCCACTATATATATTGCGCCTAATAATAAAGCTGTTTCTTTAATTAATCAATAATTCGATTTAAATTATTCCGCACTTTGGTAAGGACTAAGGAGCAACTTAGGAGTATCTTTCGGATCTAGCTGTAATGCCATAAAAGTGACCAAATGAAGTATAAGTTTACAATGTTTATCGTATTAAAAAATATTTATAATATAAACTGAATTTAAAATTTTAATATCATAGTACAAATTTAGTAGTGTATTTATGGTGAAATTCGAACATTAGACCCGATGTTTGTAGTCGCATGCCTTTCACTAAATCACCAGAGATTGAATAAGAGGTTGGGAGGGTTGAAATGTCTTTGTTGAGCTCTCTAGTTAGTGTCTTAGTGATAGTCACAAAATGCATACTGAGAATTATAACGTAGATTCGCTTTTGAAATAACCGAGTGTGACAAAATAATAATAATAATAATAATAATAATAATGTTACTAATTTGCCAAGATATTTTCACCCAAGGCAAGTCTTGAAAGAGATTTTTTTTTAGATTGGTTTTATCACGAACAGATTTAAAAATTAATGAACGAATATTTATTTGAAATGGTATATTAAGAACGAAATCCAGACATCCAGATGCATGATTGAGTATTTGAAAATTTTATTTATATTAAAAATATATGTGGAGAAAAATCTCCATCCAACTAATTCGAATTGAAGCAATCACAGCCCTGGCTAGCTGGCTTAGGGTTACTAATTACTTTGGGGTCCCAGCTTTGAGGGCATGCTTGGGTCCTAAGGCTTTCCTTTAATTAATTCGCAAACTGATGAATTTGAAAGTATAATTTGGGATCGGGGCGGGGATTAGTATTATGAATATGCTAACATCAGAGTGGGTCTCCCATTTCCCCCGCATTATTGTGGCGGGTGAGGAGTTAGTGATTCAACGGTGAAATATATGAATTTTTTGAAGTGCATTATTATTATTACGGTTTAGGATAATGGTTAGATGGACCATCTCGGTTGGTACATGCATGTACTTAACTCTAATTATTATTCCCGTATAATTTTCTGTTTCCATTAGATGCGATAATGGAAAAATCAAAAAAGTTGTCTACTACAAATTTGATGTATATATACATAAATAATTACTTACACGTTGACACTGTGCACGCATAAAATATGTATGATGGGAATAATTCCACCAACAAAATTAATATTAATAGCGATTAGTGGATGATAATATGATCTATAATAGAAGCTTGCAATGATTGGAAATTTGGAATTGAAGAACTAGAAGAGGAAGGGAAGGATTAACGGAAAAAAAAAAAAAGAAGAATGGGAGGAAGGAAGAAAAAACTTTCTAGTATGTTATTGGATTATCCCTCCCAAATCCCATTATCACAGACCCCCTTTTACATGACATACCAATTACAAAAAAAGTCTTCAAATTAATACATTCATTTTCGAATAACTAAATTCGCTCTTGACATTGTATCAAAGAGTCTTATGTAATCGAGACCTGTTCTGATGACCTCATATGTTTTGTTAAGCACATATGATATCTGGAAATATGCAAACTTCAAGGACTCTAGGTCCATATGACTCGGCTTTCATTTGAGGATATTTGTTTTTTTTTTTTTGACAAAGATTTGAGGAATTTGTTAGTAAATGATATATGATATATAATTGAACATATTCTAACAACTGGAATTATTTGGTTCAACTTGTTCTTGACATCAACAAATTTTAGTTTAACACAAAAAAGGGGCGGAGTTAGTTATCATAAAATATTTCAAACATCACATAAGTATGCTTATAAACCATACATAAAAGATTTCAAACGTAACAAATATTATAAATAAAAAAATTATTAAATATGATAACGCAAAACTCATTCAACCCACCATGTGTGTATAAAGTTACATCAAACTCTAAACTTTTTTATTTCTCTCGGTCAGTCTCAAAATCAAAATACATATCATGTCATTTATACTCAGTCACTTGTTCTGACCCTACAAATTTACTAACCGATCCATTTTTTGTGAAATGAACCAATACATCAAACACAATATCGTCTCATGATTGTTTAATACATTCATGTGAGATTAGCAAGACATTTGAGATTTAGCGTCATCGCTAAAAGAAAAAAATTGATATTAACCCGGTCACTTATGTGAGATTAGCAAGACATTCCCATTATATATCTTGTAGATTGTAGATAGATGAGGTAGATTTGGTTAGTATATTTCTACTACCAAGTATACCACCATTCTACACTATGACATATCATCATTGTATAGTCTTATGTATACTAGCAATCTTTATCATGATGGTATATGGTGATAATATATGTCTCAATTTGTTATTTCTATTGATGACTCGGTATTTGCACATGTTTTCCCCTTTGTTTCTTGATTGTTTGAGCTTGAATTATTGCGTCTTTGTCCTATTTTATGCTAGGTTGTGTTCCTTTGTCACATTTCAGGTCCTAGCACATAAAGTGAAGCATAGGCCCAAGTTTCAAATCAATCAGAGATCAATTGACGATTCGGGAGAAGAAACTCGGGCATGACCTGAAGAAGAATGGATTTATACCTCACTTTATGGACAAATAATCATGCAAGCTTGTCATGAAAAGAAAGAGGACGAGACTACGAGCGTCTGGGATCAAACAGGGACTGATTCGGAGTCCGGACGAGGGAGAAACGAAGCATTAAACAGAGGCTGAGCAAGCCACACGGGCATCCTGGAACTCCACACGGCCGTGTGGGTCGTGGCCGTGTGGAAATCACCGAGCCTTCACATGGGAAGCTGGGAAAGCCACACGGCTGTGTGGCCTGGCCGCATGATCGGGAATTTCTAATTAAAACTCGATTTTCAGCCAAAGGAAAGGAGAGAGCTGGGTTTTGGATCCCAAGCGCCCAAGGGACGAACCAAAGAGAGAGAGGGCGATTTGAGGGCATTCTAGGAGTGGAATTGGAAGATTTCTTCGCCTTGGAAGCTTGAGGAACAAGCCCGGACTTGAAGACTGATCATCTGAAGATTCTTATTGCAGTCTCTCTCTTCTCTATGGAGTAACTTCCCTTCACTTAGGTTTTGAGGAACCCTAGCTATGTTTGTTTGATTGCATGATTGTATGAGTACTCTGACTTGATAATCTTGAGTTCATATTCCATCTATGCATGTTTTCATGATTCAATTCTGCTTTAGTCGAGATTATTGATTCTGCTTTGATCCTGTGAGAGGGAATACCTTATTAGGTCAATAGAACACCATAGATTGATAGTAGTGGATCGATTGCTTTAGTCGAGGATTGATTCACTGCTTTGTATCGATTGAGAACCTCTTTTGATAGAGGGAGTCTAGTTCAGAACGCCTTGATCAATTGTTCTAGAGAAGGATACGTCCCTCTAGGCAATTGACTCAAGAGGGCCTTGTTCCTTTAGTCGAGACTCAAGGTCTAGTCAAGGATTCTCCGCATTGTGAATGAAAGTGAAACAAGTTAGAAATCATCAATCGTTTGTCTGGCTAGTGGCTAGAGGGAATCATACCTAAGTGAGTTCCCAACTTGTAATTAGATTAACTTTAATTGTAGTTTGCTAGAGTAGTTTTAGTTCTTTCATCTTAATCTGGTTTGCTAAATAAATTGAAGCTGAGTAATAGTAACTCTAGAGACCCGTGAATTCGATATTTATCACTTGAGCCACTATACTGCAGTCCTTCCATTGGTTACACTTGGCCATTGTTAGGTGTTGTGTCGTAGCGAGTCATCTATATATGTTATAGTTAATGTCATTTTGAAGAGCATAATTAATTTGTTTATTGTGTCAGTAAAATTAAATTTCAAATTAAAAAAAATATGACCCATAAAATTTTAATGGGAAAAAACTATGCATGAGTAATTAATCATTAGTCACTGACTAGATCCAGACCCTTAACTGTACATACGTCGGCACAGTGCACCCATAAAATATGAAGATAATGATGAAATAATAATTTTACTGAAGCTGGTAACAAGTAACATTATTAAACACATGCTAATTAATATTTTCATACAAATTAGACAGTAACATTTCATCAAGTTGTTGAAAGAGACTCGGTAATGAGTTGTATATCATTCTGCTGCATACTCCTATAAACAGAAAGACAAGCTAAATTGTTAGCATGTGAGTTCATAATAATTCGAATACAATATCTTTTTATCATCGCAGACTCTAATATCATGTCAATAATAAGTTCATCTCTATAGTTTGAGTCTCTGAAAATATATTTCAAAATACTATTTTATATCATTCCCTCACTCATAGTTTGGATTCTAAAAAGCTAGATGCTCATGTGTATTCTTCCCCTACATACTCAGACACTTATAAATACTCACTTAATTGGCCACAAGCCCCACTGGTGTGTTGTTTGTTGCTTTGTTTCCTGAATTATTGAGGTAGCTATGGACAAAAAATGAGTTGAGTGGAACCGTTCCACTATATATATCGAGCACTGTGCTAACTAACAGGAATCATGGAGCCACCAGCTTAATTGGCTTTGTACAATAGACTACTAGTCCAGACAAATGTCGAATTAAATTATAGTTACTTTTCATTACTATCGTTTTGCTTTTCTTGAATCCATGTGACCTTGTTTTCTGGAAGCTTCATTTTGGTTAAACTGTTAACTGTACACTAATTGGACAATCAAAAGCCTCTCTCAACCACTAGCTGCCCACCACCATGCACCTAATTATTCCCTCTATCCCTATCCACCCATTACTTAAAACCCCAAACATGTCCTATCAATTCTAGTTTAACTAATTAAGCTACTACTCAAACTTACCACTAGGACTGATATTTGTTTTTTTTCCCCCAATGATTTAACCCGTTAGTCTAACCGAGAACCGCACATTAACGATTGGGTCGTTTGGTGAACAAGATTTGGATCGTGGATTTATTGAATCCATAGATTTAGCAAAATGTTATGTTTTTTTGCTACATTTTGTATCGTGGATTGTAACTTCAGAGATTGTAAATCTATAAAATCTAGGGATATCAAATCTCTCATAATTAGAGAGATTCTACATCTTGATTTTGGAGATTTTCTCCCTCCTATTTTATCTCTTGTTTTTTTTTTTCATTATCCCACTAAATACCCTTACCAATAAATTCTCAATATTTTTCGAGCCAATCTAATT